TAAAAGCTTCTTCCTAAATTTTCTAATTGTGAAATTCTGGATGAGTTCATCAAAGCTGAAGTTCAAATGTTTCTCTGTTGTTCCCTCTACCCTGTTGAGCACCTCCTTTGCTGATGTCCTAAGTGCATGCTGACTATGCCTTTTGGGGATCCCAGTGGGTGATACAAAGATGCTCTCCAAGGCAAAGAAAATAAGGTTGCCCTATGTAAATTTCACACAAAAAGGATGTAATTAGATTCCTGGAGTAAACCAATACATTGTAGTACCCTGCTGTTGAGGAGTCTGGGAGAAGCCTGAATGCTAATCAAGCATCTCAGAGTAATCTGGACGAGCAGGACTGGCATGTAGCTGTAATTTAAATGCACTGTCAACCATTCCATTTTCTCCAGCTTAAAGAAGACTGTATGACTAAGAAGGACACTAACCAACAGAGCTGCGATTTAGAATCTCCAGTGATGATTTTCAAAAATTACGGATGTTGGGGCCCTCCCCTTGATCTAGTAAAGTGATTTACCTGGTGCCCAGGTAGGTGTATTTTCAGAAAGCACACATGATCCAAATGTGCACCTCTAGTTAAGAACCATTAGGTCAAAACCACAAATGATCCCAGAAGTCATGTCCATACCCAGTGTTTGCATCTTGGTTTCATTCTGCACATAAAGGAAATCTGGGCTCCTTGGAGACACTGCTGACTCCAAGTCTTTGGCAGGGACAGTACAGGATGAGCCTGGACGGCTTGTCCCAAAAAGGAAGGAAGTGCTCAAACACTAATGGGGACATGTCAAAAAGACATAGGTTATCTAGAAGGGACTTCTACTGGCCAAATCTGGGACAATTTGAGTATCAAAAATAATGATGTTAATGGACTGACAAAATGAATTACAAAAGAATCCATGAAGCCACTACTGATATGCAAAAAAGAGGGTTGAGGGGGGAAAGTGCTTTTTACAGAAGAACATCAGCTAATGATACACGAAGAATGGTAGAATTTAAAAATCACCACTTTTAAACCACCAACGTAGTGACTGATTCAGGCAAGGATCATCATCAATGGCTGTAGCTCTGATCAAGAGTTTGCTGGATAATGGGACAGCCACACAATCTCAAGTATTGTCCCATAAATTACTTATTAATTACAAAGAGAAAAGGGAACTTTTACAATAAAGAAATCTGATACATGCCATCTTAACCAAGTGATCAACCAACCAGAGCATCACTAAGAGTAAGACTAACTTATGAGTCTCTTTATGTGTTGCAATGGGAAGGATACGACATCAACTATGTAGTATCCTGGTCAAAACATTTATCCTCATTCTAATAATGGGGAAACTACCAGAAAATCCAGAGTGTGAGACATTCTACAAACCAACAGGCCTGACTCATTCAAAGATGTCAATGTCCTAAATAAAGAAGGAAGGAATTAAAGGAAAGAAAGAAAAGATGGGGGAACTGTTCTAGACTACATCAGACTAAAAACACAGGACAACTAAATGCAATGCACAATTCTCATTGGATCCTGGATCCCAAACAAATAGACAAAAAGACTATAGCTATAAAGGACATTACTGGGACAATGGGAAAATCTGAATATGGACTGTAGCTAACGGTAACTAGCAGTGTTAACTTTCTTGGGTATGGTAATTATAAGTATACAGAAGAATGTCCTTGCTTTTAGGAGATTTGTACTGAAATATTTAGGGGCAAAAGGTCAAATGTTTGCAACTTATTTTCAAAAAGTTCAGCCTGTATGTGTACATATGTATATTGAAAGAGAAAACAAATGTGGAAAAATAACACCCAGGGGATCTGAAAGAAAGATATGTGGGGTATTCATTCATTTTTATATAAATCTGAAATTTTTCAAAATATAAAGTTGGGAAAGTAATTAAAATTAAAAAAAAAACCTATCTTGATTTTGCAAATGTTATCATACTCCAAGGTAACTGGAACGATAACTCAGGCAGTGAGGAAATCACTGGCCCCTGGCCCGGGAGTGGCTGGAAGCATTCCACTGACATTCACCGGGGCCACTTTCTGGAACATAATGAATTTGATTATCTTAATACCACCTTATGTCTGAATAGTACAATATTCTTAAAACAAATGGCTGACAAAGTTGAAGTTGTTGGGAGGAGAAGTGCCAAAATGTCAACAATATTGGAAATAACAGATGGTAGGATTATGAGTAATGTTTATTTTCTTCTTTGTACTCTCCTAAACTTCTAAGCTTCTACAATGAGCATGTATTACCTTCATGATATGAAAAACGGACAAAAAGCAAACACGGTATTAAAGCAATGTTTCCCAAACCTGTCTGATCATAAAACACACATTCTGGGCCCCAGACCATCGATAGAATCTTCAGGAGAGGGGTCTGGTGATCAGTATTTTACAAATGCCTCAGGTGAGACTTAGGAGGCAAGCTAGGAAAATAGTGCTAAGCAATAGAGAAGAAAAACCCAAAGGGTTGGGCCACCCTTCCCTGAACTGCCCTGACCCTGGGCAGGGCAACTAATTCCTCTTAATCTAATCCCTTGGTTGGTACTCTGTTCCTCTCTGAGCAACAGTCTATTTAAAATTTGGCTTCTTGTGCAGCATGCCTACAGGGAGAAAATACAGCAATCTAAGGATGGAAGAGTTCTAGTTTTTCTAACAGCTGCATTTGTCACTATAAATTAACAAATCAGCAAAATTGATCAATTAGTCTCTGTGAGTTTGGATGATACAAATCTTCCCCTAGAGAGAGTTCTACTCTCAGGATGTGGACTCAGCCAGACTCCCCCCATCGGTAGGTCAAAACTGTGGACATTAGAGCCATATTCAAGCCAGGACCCTCAAGCCTGAAAATAAAAAGAGCCTCAACACAAAATTAAAAGATGCCTTGAGTACGCAGCTAGTCCTTTCAGGGTTTAAGACAAATTTATAAGGAAAATTGTTCTATTTTCTTGTCTCTAATAAATATTCAAGTTTAGAATTGGGCCAGGTGGCTCACAGTCCAAATACAAGATGTACACAGGCCGGACGCGGTGGCTCACGCCTGTAATCCTAGCACTCTGGGAGGCCGAGGTGGGTGGATTGTTTGAGCTCAGGAGTTCGAGATCAGCCTGAGCAAGAGCGAGACCCCGTCTCTACTAAAAATAGAAAGAAATTAATCAGACAACTAAAAATATATAGAAAAAATTAGCCGGGCATGGTGGCGCATGCCTGTAGTCCCAGCTACTCGGGAGGCTGAGGCAGTAGGATCACTTGAGCCCAGGAGTTTGAGGTTGCTGTGAGCTAGGCTGATGCCATGGTACTCTAGCCCGGGCAAAAGAGTGAGACTCTGCCTCAAAAAAAAAAAAAAAAAAAAGATGAACAGAGACTGCAAGGGGCGTATCGTCAGGCGGGGGTTGGGGGGAACATTTTTAAACACAGCAAAATTACTTTCCTAGCAAATAAGTTATGTTAACAAATTATGCATAGCATTACTTTCATTTAACTGGCAGCCTTCAAATTTGTTACATGATGACAACATGCAGTAGTATTTTTTTCCTACAATGTAACAATTACTATGAAAAATGAGCTGAAATAACAGAATTATGAGTACTTAAATATTTTTTCCAGTAATCACTTGCAAGAGTTGGAAATGTAAGATTTAAAGTTGAGAGTCTAAGTTGAAAAAAGATGTCAAATCATTCTTTCAGAACTAGCCCCATGGTGACTTGGGTGGATACCCTGCCCCATAGCATCAGATTTACCATTATAAAAGATCAGATAGTTATTGATCCTGTATGTGGAAACATCCCATGCTTATCACAACAAATGAGTTTTAAGGATGAAATTCTGCAGGCAAATCATTCATCATAGTATAGAAAGGATAAGATATTTTTAACCTGAAAATCCAGAGTCCTTATCAGATTCAGCAGCAGCCATGCCGAGTTGACGAGCCACTTTTTTCATCTCTGTGCCTTTGCCTAGTTTGGCCGAGAGTCTTCTGGGGCTCTCTCTGGATGGGTTTTTCCTCTCCATGTTTTACTGGGCTAGAGGCAGATTCATTGGTACTCTTTTCATCTGGATGGCCCTGTGAAAAACAACAATTACATAAGAAGTCACTGCCTGGAGGGCTGAGACAGGTGATCCGAACAGTGAATAAAGTGAGGGCAAAGAACGCTGGCCTCGCCCACTTCAGCTGTATTTGCTCAGAGGTCTCAGTTGACAAAAGCTTCAAGTTTACTAAACAGAATGGTTTCCACTCAAAAAGAGATTCACGGTCCTCTGGCTGCCCTCTAATTCCATTACAAATTCAAGGCACACAAACCACATTCAGTGTAAGCTTTGTAAACTGCTAACAAAGGCACATTTGACTAGGCTTTTTGGAATGGATAACCAACTCACCCTCCATGCGGGAGAGGGAAGAGGGGGAAAAAGGAAAAGCACTGATGGGGCGCACTTTCCTGCTTTCCCTTCCTGGTACACATTTGCAGGCTCGCGACCTATTGCCACCTCCCATAGCGTAGAGTTTCTCACATTAACCTCTAAGTTCTTGGGATGAGGTATTGAACCGAGTATAAACAACTCCCTATATATGCGTGCTATTTTGGGGCTTAAAAAACACTTTTATGTGCAAATAAGATCATATCTAATAAAGTGCTTATGTTGTATAAAAGTCTGTAATATTTATTGCTATTAAGGTTATCTCACTTGAGCCTCACAATGTCCTCCTCAGTTGCTATCCCATTTTATAGAAGAGGAAACTGAGGCTCAGATAAGTTACATTCAGTCATCTAAAAATATTTATCAAGTGCTCACTGTAAATCAGGCATGTTCGAGGACTGGGGTATAGAGTGAACAGGATAGACATGGTCGCTTCCTTCCTGGAGCTTAGGATCTAGAGAGAGAGAGATGTTAATCAAGTACTCACACAGCTAATCACTATTCTGGTTAAGAGCTATGAAGGGGATGACGGGCTAACAGTCCGGGGAACTTGGGGAGTGCCATGTAGCTGGGATCTGGAGGATGAGGAGTTGGTAGGAGTTAGCCAGGTGAAAGGCAATGGGTGGAGTGTGCAGGTGTGTCCCAGGCAGTGGGAAGGACCTAAGAGGGCAAGGGACTTGGCACATCAAAGAGCTGAAAGGCCAGGGAGGCTGGAGCACAGTACAGAGGGGCAGAATGCCATGCGGTGACGCTAGAGGGTTAGTGGGGGGACAGACAGGCAGTGCCTAGGAATCCATGTTGGAAAGACTTGGATATTAACTTAAGAGCAATGGGAAGCCAAAGAAGGATTTTAACCAGAAGAGTGACATAATCAGATTTGCATTTTGGATGCTGGACTGAGAGTAAAGTGGAGAGCGGCAGTGAGATTGTTCAGATGCTATGATAGCAGTCAGGTGAATTAAGGTGGTGGCTGTGGAGAATGGGGAGAAGTGACACATGGAGACCAACCTGACGGGACCTGGCCATTGACTGTATGGGGGAGCGGGAGATGGTGGTACCATTTTCTAAGCTAGGGAGCTCAAGAAAAGCACTGGAGGGACTTGGGTGGGGTGGGGCAGGGGAGGGTGGCGTGGCTCAGCCAGCCCAGTTTCGGTCATGAAGACACTGAAGCGACCACGGGCCATCCGAGTGCACATGCTGGGTAGGCAGTCACATGTAAGACTGGAGCCCAGGAGTGAGGCCTACATTTGCTCCAGTGACACACAGCTAGTCTAGAGCAGATCCGGACCTAGGCTAACAGTGCAAAAATGAGACAAATCAGCCCTTCAAAGGGCTGTCCAAGGATGAGAACATTCCAGATACTTTAACAAGGCCATTTGAGTTACCAAGGAATGGCAACTATAAGGCCAGCATGGTAAGAACACAAAGGATACTACAGGGATAAAGAGAACAGAAAGACAACTAGGAAAACAACAATAATAATGAAACTGGGTGGAAGTAAGCAAAGCCTGGTGATGTTTTATTCTACAATCCATTCAAGACTCCATCCTATTTCTGAGTGGAGAGAAACGCAAGCCCCCTGCCAAACAGCACTGCATCTGGAATACCCTGAAGTGCTCAGCCTAGACATTTCTGCTAATACAAGAACATCAATGTCCTAATGAAGAACATCAATCACCCAAGAAGCAGAAGGGTGCAAAATAAAGTTAAATAGAGGACAAGGAAGCTTACAAGCATCCTTGAGCAACTCTCTTGCTCATACTTTTGCTACAGTAGAAGTGGATTAAAGGGAACACAAATGGGACTGAATCAGAGTGAATTTTAAATACAATTCCAAGTAAAAATCATTTTGCCCCATGTCTAATTCATTTAAGGGAGCTAACTGGCTTCCTCATTCAACTCATGTCAAATCGAGTACTCTTCCACAGGTCACATGTTTAATCCTATGTGCATAAAAGATAAACAATGGCACTGCCACATCTTGTAGAGCACTATGTAAAAGAATTGGCTGGGCACGGTGGCTCATGCCTGTAATCCTAGCTCTCTGGGAGGCCGAGGCGGGTGGATTGTTTGAGCTCAGGAGTTCGAAACCAGCCTGAGCAAGAGCGAGACCCCGTCTCTACTAAAAATAGAAAGAAATTAATCGGACAACTAAAAATATATAGAAAAAAATTAGCCGGGCATGGTGGCACATGCCTGTAGTCCCAGCTACTCGGGAGGCTGAGGCAGTAGGATTGCTTGAGCCCAGGAGTTTGAGGTTGCTGTGAGCTAGGCTGACGCCACGGCACTCACTCTAACCCGGGCAAAAGAGTGAGTCTCTGTCTCAAAAAAAAAAAAAAAAAAAAAAAGAATTGTTTATTTGACAGCTATGAAGTTTGATGATACGGCCAATACAGTTTAAAAAGTAGACTACAGGCCAGGCACAGAGGCTCACACCTGTAATCCTAGCACTCTGGGAGGCCAAGGTAGGAGAGGATCGCTTGAGCTCAGGAGTTTGAGACCAGTCTGAGCAAGAGTGAGATCCTGTATCTACCAAAAACAGAAAAAAATAGCTGGGCATGGTGGCGCGTGCCTGTAGTCCCAGCTACTCGGGAGGTTGAGGCAGGAGGATTGCTTGAGCCCAGGAGTTTGAGGTTGCTGTGAGCTAGGCTGACACCACAGCACTCTAGCCCGGGCAACAGAGCGAGACTCTGTCTCAAAAAAAAAGGAAACTAAAATGTAAAACTATATCTCTAATTAAATCAGGATCCTTTTGTATGAAACCTAACAAATGTGCAAAGTGTAATTTTCCTAAAATAATATTGTCCAAAAGTGAATAGGAGCCTTCTTCAAAATGGAAGTAGATGTAGCTGTGGATGGGCATTCAGACAAATTCAAGTCTGACCAGGCTGCTGATTTAGATTAGGATGGTAGCTCGTGTTGGTTGCAACTAATTAAGAACCTTACAAAGTTTCACATTATCTTACTAAACATGGATTGTTTTCAGGTATTTTAGATAAAGCATCCCAATTTAGTCTTCTACAATCTTTGTGACAAGACAATGAAAAAGGTCTTGCTATTGTTATTAAAGTGTAGCCAACTGAGCTACAGAAAATACTCAGGAATTTATTTTACCTTACCGAGAATTCACCAAGACAATATATTGATCGTAAAATCAAAATACTGAAACATTGATAAATTGGTTGTTGGGGCTCAGGAAACGACATCCCAAAGTATGGTGCTTTGGCATGCTGAGTACTGTGAACTGAAGGACACCGGAAGGGCCTCAGAAGCAAGGTCTCTTTCTGACCTTCCTGTACTTCTTTCTTTTGCCTTCCATTCTCCCTTAAGGTGGGCCACAGACACTACAATTCCTCTTTCTCAAGGCGGGTAGGTCATAGAAAGTAGAAATTTCACTCTAATCTTCCCTGCCTTTCTGCATAAGACTTGGCAGTAAAGAAATTCTCTGATCTGCCTTGTCTGATAGTGGATCTTAAGACCCTCATTCCAGAATAGGTCCTGCCCTATACCAGGGAGGAAGACATGTTAAACAGAGGTCAAGAAGAATTCTGAACAGAGAGGCCTTGCTGGGTTTCCCACCTCGGTCTAGTACCATTAGATTAGATCACACCCTTTTTGTCCAATCGTATTTCTACATGGCCGTCCATTCTTCATCGAACCTAAGCATAAAAACAGACAGTTTCCCCTGAGTTTTTGGGTCTTAATTTCTGAGGGCTCCTACATCACATAAAACTTTGATTAAATGAAACTATTATGTAGGAGCTGGGCACAGTGGCATGCACCTATAATCCCAACTACTAGGTAGGCTGAGACGTGAGGATCCCTTGAGCCCATGAGTTCAACACCAGTCTGGGCAACATAGTGAGACTCTGTCTCATAAAAGAAAAACTAAAAAAGGAAAAAAGAAAAGAAACTTATGTTTTTCTCCTGTTAACCTGTCTTTTGTTAGGGGAGAGTCAACCATGACCCTTATAATAGGTGAGGAAAGGTATCACACCTTTCCACCCCTACATGGTTAAATGGAGAACAGACACTAAAATTTTAGATCATGGGGAGTTGTTGGCATTTGGAAATAAAGAATGCATAATCAACTTTATAATGGTAAACTGACTGTTTTAAATGTGAAAATGCTTACAAATATGAAAGCCTGTTCTCAGTAAAGTTCTCTTTAAGCCGCAGAAAGCCTCAGCCTCCCAGCTAGCGAGGTTCATGTGGGATGGAGAATGAAGGGCTACATTCCCCCCACAACCTCCTCCTCCTAGGGGTGGGCTGAGGGAGTCAATTAGCCATGAACAATGGACCCACTCACACACAGCACCATATGAAGCTCTCGACAGGAGAGAAGCAGACAGTGATGGCATTTACTGCGGGTCTCTCAAACCCAGGGCGGTGCAAATGACTAAGTCTGAAAACCTCAAGAAGGTGCTTGATTTTTCCTCCTCGGCATTATTTTACAGTAAAGTTGGATGCTCACACACTGACTAGTTGAAATTGGGTTACTAAGCTCTTACCCATTGTGTTACTGTGTTCTCTCTCTGCTTCCTGGCACAAACTGGAAGACACTAACACTGCTTTAGAAACATCTGAAACTCTATGTCCCTTACTCTGCATTACAAGGACTAAATTAAGCTCCAAAACCGTCAGAACTGACCCTAGTTGAGCCTCTTATGCATGTATATGTAACATATTGTCCAAAAGTTTCTCAGAGAAGAGCGTACACACTAAAACTAATAATGGAAAGTGAATCAATAAATATACAGGTTTATATAAATAGATAAAATTCTAGCAAGTGCTCCAAAGCACTTAGCTCTTGCTTCTATTTTTGCACTTCTTACATTAGAGTCTAATTATTTGTCTCCTCAACCTCAAGGGTTGTTTTTCATCTTTGCAACCTCAGCCCCCAACAATTAACATGTGAGGTATTCAATAGAATAATAAATTCCAGTAAATCTCTGTCCTGCTGGGTCTCTCTGACAGCCCTAGCAGCTTAGCTGTCACAGAAATACCTGAACAGCTTGAAGGTTAAGATTCTGCATTTCCAAACACCATGGTCACCTCAAGATCTAACCTCCAGGTCTGGTCCCCTGCAGAAAACAGATACCTAATCTATCCTTTATTCCAAGATGAAACCTCAGGGACAAATCCACCATCCAAATTAAAGGTCAGCCTAATCCACAAACAATCTCTGTGGAGATTTGCACTTTATGATTATAAGGAGGCCCAAGGGTTACAAGGAAAGAATCCGAAATGCTGCTTTCAGATCTCTCCTTTTATAGATACTTGGCAACGTTCCTGAGAGCTCAAGTTCCCTTTCAAATGCATCACGTGTATAACGTGCATGCCTGGACAGAGGTGTTAGGTGAAAGCCCAAGCAGAGGCTTCCATACAATGAAGTGACAGGGCCATAGAAAGAAATCCATGAGTAATTCCAGTTAGAATTATAAACATGTTACTAGGTTTTCTCTGAAGTAATTTGCTTTTGGTTTGCATATTCAGAGATACCATTCAGGGAGACTGTCTGTGTTATTTTAACAGTGGAAAAACCCCATCTACCTAAATCTCCAACACTCATCTTCTGCTTCACATTCATTCCCATTCTCCAACTTGGCTGAAAATTCATGTCAAAGATCCTAAACCCCAATTCCATATAATTTCCCACGTTTGGTACTCGGTATGGCTCTCTCCATTTTAACCTTTCAGAGAGGAGATCAGATTAGAGAACTTTCTCAGATCCCCTGCTGCAAAAAGAGTTCGCAGTAACAGTGCCCACCTACCCATTCGCACCAGCCCACGTTGCATCTGTGCCAGACAGCATGTGCACCCTCCAGGCATCCACCAGCCTGCCAGCTCAGCAGGGCAGAACTGGGCAGACCCTAGTACTGTGCTGTGACTGGCATACCACCAGCCTTCCAGGGCAAACGCCCAGGCAATGCCTACTGCCAGGACTTGGGCAATAACAGGGAGCCTGGCTCCAGCCTGTGCCCGGATCAGAGCTGCCCCCAACCCACCCATTAACCACTAACTCCTTACTTGGCACTGCCCACCTCTCCACCAAACCACTACCCCAAGCACCAAGCCAGCCACCCAGAATAACCTGCAAAGTGGGTGAAGGCAGGTCTCTGGAAAAGACAGCACACCTGTGCCCTGGGCCCAGAACAGGGCACTACTCCAGCCTCATTCTAGAGGCCCCGGACCCTCACCCAGTCACCAGTTCTGCCCACTCACCTGCCCGCTCCCTGGCCTTCAGCTCACTGCCCGGCAGGCCTCCAGGCTCTCTCCACGCCCGGACAGCCGGCTGGCTGTTGCCCTCTGGGCTAACCAGAGCTCACCTGCCCTAACCAACTCACCCCACTTGCTCCTCACACAAGCTCCCCCGCCACACGCGAGTCTCTCTCCCACGCAGGCCCCGCCTCTCACAGTAAAACCAACTAAATGGGGGAGGGACGCACCACCTCCTGCTCCCACCATTTGGCCCTCAGTCCCCCTAAAGTCCCGGTTGTCCCTCTTGCTTACTTCGCTCCCCTTCCTCTCTTCCCTACTCCCACCTCCTTTCCCACGCTCCCCGCCCAATCCCTCTCCTGTCGCGCGATCCGTGCTCCCCTCCCCGCGGGCCCAGCCCTCCCTTTCTCACCTAAGGCCGGGGTCGCGGCTCCATGACCGAGCCCGCGGGTCAGGTGGCGCATGCGCGAGCCCGGCCCCAGGGCTCCATGACAACCCCGTCGTCGCTCGGTCTCTTGCTACCAGCCCCCCAGCTTCCCGCCTCTTCCTCCTCCCCCCCGCCTCCGCGACGGCTTTTACCAGCCACGTGACCCGGCTCGGAGGACCCAGCACCATGGAGACTGCGCGCCGTTCTCCTAGAAGAGCCCGTGGAGACGCACCCTTCCTCCGCCCCCGCCGGAAGGCGAGGCCGGAGCGGGGCGGGGCTGTCGCTAGGAGGCCCGTGCTCTTCCGGCAGGCGGACGTCTCTATGGTTGGTTCCTGAGGCCCCGCCGCCATTTTGTACGCGGGGCCTTGAGCAATGAGCGGCTTGGGCACAGTTTCGAGGCGGGGTTTCGAGGACGAGGGGCGGGCCGGCTTGTAGTGCACACGACAGGAGGCGTGATTCCCTTTTGTGGGGGGCGGGGGAAGGTACTCTCGTGGTGTGCACTGCCGCAACGCCGTTAGAGGTGGAGGCGGGACGCGTTACGTTTGGCCCTTACACGGGCCCGCGGCAACATTGCCCGGCGTGGCGGGGCGGGCGGCTAGACGCGAGTCCGCGTGACGAGGGCGGTCCTGACCTCCCGCGCGCGGTCCGCGTTTTTGCTACGGCTGTCGCAAGGTCTGTTTGCGTTCCCGTCAACCCTGCGGACTGTGCACCTAAAGGCAGGGACGCAATGTGTTATTTTAGTTGGATGATTACATGTCATTTGATGTTTGACTCACCCTGTCCCATGCGACCTCCCGAGAGATTTGTCATGTCAGCTCTTAGCGAAGTTTTACTGTGAAGATACACGTAACAGCGAAAGGAAAAAAGGAGTTGGCCACTAGTCGAAGTTCTGATGCACTGAATCAGTGAGAGTCATTTAGATTAGAGAAAGAATTCTTTGGCAAGTGAGAAAGAGGACACCGGCTCTTTTAAAAAAAGTTTAAAGGTTGCAGACGGGTCGAGGCAGATTCTAGAGCTGCGCTGCAACCACTAGGAGCTACTAAACTAATTGAAATCAAGTAATATGAAAAATTAAGTTTCTCAGTTGTACAAGCCACATTTCTAGAGCCCAATAATCACTTTATTGGACAACGCGCATTATAGCACGTTGCCAGCATCACAGAAAGTTATATTGGTCAGCGTTGATCTAGGTGATGTGGAATTGTATTGATAAGCCAAGCATTTTTAAGCGCTACTAAGTCATGGTTAATCACATTAGTCCTCCAGACACAGCTAATTCTAATGTATTATCGGGTATGAATGTACTTATTAGATAAGCTCTACTAACAAATAATAATTGAATGCCAACAGCATGTAAGGCTTTTGTTTTGGGGATAGAGAGAGTAAAAATAAAAGTTAACAATTATCATGTAATTAGAAGCCTGGAAGCTTTACATCCATTCTCTTATGATTCCTCTACAAATTTATGACACAGTATTATAAAGAGTTTTTGCGTATGATAACACAACTACTAAGTCCCAGCTTTTATGCATGAAGCCGTATTGCCTCTTTTTTGGGGGGGCAGGGGGGACTGGAATTTTCTTTTTTTAAATTTTATTTTTTTAATTGACAAATACTTTTGCATATTCATGGGATACATAGTGATGTGTTTTTTTTGGTTGTTTTTTTTTTTTGAGACAGAGTCTCACTGTGTTGCCTGGGCTAGAGTGCTGTGGCGTCATCCTAGCTCACAGCAACCTCAAACTCCTGGGCTCAAGCAATCCTTCTGCCTCAGCCTCCCAAGTAGCTGGGACTGCAGGCATGCACCACCATGCCCAGCTAATTTTTTCTATATATTTTTAGTTGTCCGATTAATTTCTTTCTATTTTTAGTAGAGACGGAGTCTCGCTCTTGCTCAGGCTGGTCTCGAACTCCTGAGCTCAAACAATCCGCCTGCCTCGGCCTCCCAGAGTGCTAGGATTACAGGCTGAGCCACCGCGCCCGGCCCATAGTGATATTTTGATGTATATAATGTATAGTGGTCAGATTCCATCTTCTCAGCCTCTTTTTGAAGTAGAATAAAACAATTTTTGCTTTCAGATAACTTAAAATCTGGTGGGAAATAAGGCATGCTCAAATAAGTAATATGAGAGAGAGTGGGATAAGTACTAGAAGATTCAGAACAAAACCTAATTAATAAAATCAAGGAAGGGAAAAAAAAGAACTTTCAGCTTGGTTTTTGTTTGTTGTTGGAGGAGGAAGAGACCAGCAGATAAAGCTTTAAGAACAGATAAAAGTTAGATTTATGGTAATGGAAGTGGGTGAGAGCATAATGTATGCCAGACAAAAAAGAATCAATGAAATAAAAGTATGAGGACAGCCTTCTCATGGGCCTCCAAAGGGCAAATCAAACTTCTCTGATTTTACCTACGTTATGAGCAGCCATGCTGTTTCAATAATTTGAACTTCAAAAACAAGTTTTGTAATGGAACCAAATGAATCAGGCCAATTTACTAATAGGCATTATTTTTATGATCGTTCTACTGTATGGTTCTATATAATTAGATGTATAGAATTAGCAATTTAAGAAAATCGATAGCGAATATTTTCATATAGCTAAACCACTGTAAAAATTTTTCTTTCCTAGTTAATTTTCCAGGGGTTGTAAATCAGTGTCTCTAGTGACAATTTCCTAGTACCACGAGTTCTTTTACTTTTACTCTCTTTATTCTTGGTTAGGGTAAGGTCCCTGTGATGGAGAGTGGGTTTTGAAGCACTATTTCTTCTTGCTGTAGGGTCCTTCTTTTCCAATTCTAGTCCTCCTAGTTAGCACCATTGTGGTTCAAGACTCATTTTGCCACCACCACTGCCAGCAGGGGGAGACAGGCTCCCTTAAATGCTACATTTAGGGGTTTTTGTGTTTTTTTTCCCCCCAAATGTTTTTTTCCTTTCTCCTATCTACTTCATTGTTACTACCTGCCCTATCCATGTGAGGATTTAAGTTTTTAATCCTGCATAGGATACCTTGAACAGAACCTTGTACTGAGTTTTATCTGAAGTTATTTTAAAGTATATATTGTATAAAAATATTTATAAATTGTTTAATGATTATTTCAATATTTAAAATTGAATTTAAAATTTATGTCATTTTTAAATTATTTAAAAGTAATTAAAATAATGTAATAAGAAACAAAGTATTCAGACGATCTAGTTTCATATCCCAGCTCCTATCAATGTCATTTTGTAAAAAGGGACATTTCAACATCCTTCCCATATACACAGGAAGATAAAATGTAATCTCACAATTTAAAAATCGAATAATTTCAGCTTTATGAAAAACTTAGTGCATTATTCTTTTTTTTTTTTTTTTTACACAGTCTCGCTCTGTTGCCCGGGCTAGAGTGCCGTGGCGTCAGCCTAGCTCACAGCAACCTCACCTCCTGGGCACAATCAATCCTTCTGCCTCAGCCTCCCAAGTAGCTGAGACTACAGGCATGCACCGCCATGCCCAGCTAATTTTTTCTATATATTTTTAGTTGTCCAGCCAATTTCTTTCTATTTTTAGTAGAGACAGGATGTCGCTCTTTCTCAGGCTGGGCATTATTCTTATTTTTCCAGTTTTGCTGAGGACCAGTGAAAACTTTACTGTAAGGACTGACATCAGTTCTTGGACTGGTATTTAGGTACCATTGATTTCATTTTCCTGAACCTCAGTTTGGCTATCTGTAAAACAGTTATCCTCTGGTTTGAATCTGGCATTACTGGTGCTGACCACTTTATAGAGTTTTTAAAGAGGATTTGACTGGGGGTCTTAGGTGTATGTATGCTCCAGAGTCTCAGAGTCATGGGTCAGTGAGAGACGAAGAGAGGGACTCCAGCCTATATGTGGGCAGAGGGATCTATAGGTCCCAGATGACAGAGGCATAGGCCAGGGATAGCGGGATGCATGACCTATTTTCCCTCAGTCAGGTGACAAGGTCTCCACCAGCCAGGGTTGTTCTTGGCTCATATTCTTAGGGAGTATCTGGAAGATCAGGAATGCTAAAAGGATACTATTCAGGGTATAGTCAGGCTATTAATATATAGGCACAGGTTTGCTTTTAGGGGTAATGGAAACCCATCCCAAATAGTTCTTCCTCTTCTTGCTGGTACCTGAAATTCTATTAAGTATAATTGCTTGATGCCCAAATACTCTGGAACCCAAGACAAATTCTTTCATAACAACTAACACAGAGTATTTACTATTTGCCAGACACTGTCCTAAGTGAGTTGCCTAGATTTATTCATTTAATCCTTCCACAGTCTTATGAGATGGGTGTAGTATCATTATTCTCCTTTTACAGGGCAGGAAACTAAGATACAGAGACCATGTTGCTTGCCAAGGTCACCAGTGGTCCATGGTGGAGCCAGGATTTGAATTCCAGAGTCCTTGCTTGTAGCTACTTTGCTCAACAGCCTCCGTGTTAGAGTGGAAATGGATAATACCACACCCTTTCCTGCTGTGCTAAGGAGGAGGCCAATGGGAAGCCGGAAGCACTAGGCACTTGTGTGGGAAGGATGCCAGGAATGGATGCCGAGGACTATATAGGCACACCGCAGAGAACACCTCCAGCTGGCTGTCGTTTTCTTTTCAGTCTATACGTGGTAGAGGTACCCACATATCTTCCCAAACTATTCAGAAGCTGTTAAGATTCCCCTGTCTAGGATCTTTTAGTGTAAAGATTTTAAAAGTATCATCGCCCCCCATTGAATAAGTCTTTGATTTAAACTCATGACTTCTTTCTGTCGGTCACCCAGAAAACTGTTCACTTGCCCCTTTGTGTAGCACCATTTGAGTTTTGGCTTGTAGGTTCTCCCTGGCTTCATATCTTGCCTCATTGGCTTCCCTCCCTTCAGTAAACAGCCTTCAGATCCCAGTCGAGTTCACCAGCATGGACTGGACAAAGTCAGGGAACACAGGCCACCACAAGAGAAAGCCAGATGGAACTGGGGCCCTTTAGGGGAACTTGATACTTCAGTAATAGGAAACGGGCTTCGAAGCCCAAGATCAGGCCAGCACATGGCTCACATCTGTAATCCTAGCACTCTGGGAGGCCGAGGTGGGAGGGAGGATCCCTTGAGGTCAGGAGTTCAAGGCCAGCCTGAGCAAGAGTGAGACCCTCGTCTCTACTAAAAAAAAATAGGAAAAATTAGCTGGGCAACTAAAAAT